GATGAAGAAATGAGTCAAACATGATCATCATTCATTTTAGTGGAATAAGAGGAAAGGATAGAAGAAAGGGGTCACTACGGAGCCGAGCACCCCACGGTTGATAAAGGTTAGGCTTGTTGGGTAACACTCTTTAGCGACCTGACTGTTTACATTCGATTTGTTGAAGTATAACGTGTCGATAGGCGTGCTAGTTTTATCTGGACTCATTTTCTTCCGTTCAGATTTGTTGAATTACACTCATGGTAACACTTGGCTATTATAATTAAGTTGTTCAAAATGACTTTGAGGTTTGTACAGATTTTATTTGAACATTCGACCGTTTACTACTGCAGTACCGTGAAAAATTGCTCGATCTTTCGTATTATTGACGTTTCGAGATCCAATTTCGGCTACGCGTTACTTGTTCATCTATTCCGGAGGCAAAGTACTGAAATTCGTGCAATTCGGAACAAGAGAATTTCGTTAGAACAAGGAAGGATCCAGGAGGAAGGACAGGAAGTAACCCGGCGAGTCACAGGCGAATTTGGGGGATTTCTGATTCTCACATTTATAGTTCAGTTAGTTCCGTTAGTGCTAGAAGTTCATGTGCCCTAGACTGTGATACTCATGTTAATATTTATGATTTATACCTCCGTAAGATTGTAAAGTAAGAGCAGGAGATTTAGTCAATGAAGCATAGGGAAGCAGAGGCCAAGCAAACTTGTTTTATTAAACACGCCGCGACCGACAAACAAACCCTGCATATTAAACTAACTCCGGAAGTGGCTCAACTACTGATCAAAGTAATGTACCGTCACCCGTCCATAGATCTGTCTAAGATGGAGCTAACGTAATTCGATGGGAACTCCAGCAACCATTGGAGATGCTTTAGAGAATTTGATAATATCGTCGAGTGTCGAGTCATCGATCCAGGGCAGAAATTCTTATACCTAAGGCATTATGGCGGCAGGAAGGCCCGAGACGTAATTGAAGAATGTGTAGTGCTACCAAATGAACTTGGGTATATCCTATCAAGGGACATCTTAAGGGAACTATTCACGTGGCACGGACCGCTCGTTTTGTTGACGTTTTGGGATCCAATTTCGGCTACTCGTTGATCTATTTGGGAGGCAAAAGCCGAGATCGGGGCCTAGACTGACCAAACGTACTGCCTCGCCATTATGGAGACTTGGCTGAGGTCTGGATTTTGTATTGTTAATAATAATGCGGTAGATTTCACGAAGCCCTTGAAGCATGCTAGTGCGCATAATCAAATGTAGAACAATGATGTAAAAATGAATGTCCAGACAGGAAGTAATAGTACAGAGAAGGTGCGAACGTAAATTCCAAAGCGTTGCAGTAGGTATCGTAAACATGCATTGCGGTGAAAAAGAAGAAACATAAGCGGATAAGGCCATTTAATGGAGTACTGAGGATGAACTGGTATGGACAGTACATCAGTGCAAACGTTTGTCATTTGAAGAACATTTAGGAGGTTACAGTATTGGAGGTGGAAATATCCGCTCGGGACCTAATGCGCGGAAAGAAGTTCAAAGAATGGGAGGAAAATGATCAAATTGAGAGTCAAATTTCAGAGCAAGAAGCCAAAGAAGTGATGAAAGCCGCGCCCAACCACCAATTCCGGAGCCAGATTATCCATTACGAGTTTAGACCCCAAGCCATCGACAGGCTCACTCACACAGAACCTGGAATAAAAGAAAGATACTCGGAAGTGTGGGGTGGAAACCCGACCCATACAGGAAAAGGGGGAACCAGCAACTAACAAAGCAATGCTAACAGTGCATTATAAGAAGAGAAAGTTATAAATCTATAAGTTGCCTGCAAAGACTTTATTGAATAAAAGGATGGATTAGAATAGGAATGCGCTATAATGAATACACACTTTATGCAGTTATCAAGAACATTCATATTATTTCAAAAGGGAAAACGTAGTTTGGGTGAAATAGGATGACAAATTTGGTGAGTACACCTTTAACCAGTATTCACCACTGAAAAGGTTTGTAATCTGTATCAATGTGTGTTAAGGCATGGAGCAGTGAATGTGAACACAGCTGCCTGATTAGCTTGTGTCACAAGGTTGGACAGGTACCGAAGGGAACGGTATGTTTAGACGTAAACGAATAATATATTTGGGTGATTATACTGAGAAAAGTATTCACCGTAAAGCTAGGTATTCCACTGGTACAGCACAGAAACTCAATCGGTGTACTGATTAGAAGTTTAGCCTGGGAACGTGGACACTGCTGCCTGTTCAGCATGTGGGCTTCTACCCACCATGGTTCCAAGCTTACCTCTGCGATCGTCCAGGGAATAGGTTGGGAGGGGGCTGCACTACAGTTGGTGGCGGACCACGTTCCTAAGACTGCTTTGGACATCCTGTTCACGGAGAACATTCAGGCTGCCGGGTGCGTAAGCAAGCTCCTCAGAGTAAGATTATTAGTTCTGCGTATTTTTCACAGCCCAAGTCTCGACGAGAATACAGTACTACTAGATTTTCTCCCGCGTACAACAACTCTGGCAAGCCCACCCGATAGCGGATGGGTAACTTTCCCAACAGCTTAAATCTAGTTTTCACCAAAAGCAGGAACGACATCAGGAACACTGTTATAGGTGCACCGCTAGGCAAAAGTGACCACGTTAGTATCCAGTCCGAGTAAGGCTGTGGTATTGCCCCTTTCAAGTGAAATTGCGGACGCATGAACACTGAATATTTCCTGGCTGCCGGTCAGACCATAGTCTGGTCAGAGGTAAAGCATGGGATTGTAGATTCGTGGGACTTGATCATGTACAACCTGCTCACGCTGATCCCTGTGTCTCGTTGGGTCTAGGACCACCCACCTTTGGTGGTTCAACCAAATGGAAAAAGATTTGGTTAGAAAGCGGGCCGCTTGGAAGCGACTCTGTGCCAAAGATAGGCATCTGAGGCACCTCCGGTACTTGCGGGAGCAGAAGTCTTTCGACCGTAACCTCCTGGATTCCGAAAGAGCTTTCGAACTTTCTCTGAACAAGAAAGCAACGGAGTCTTCCAGGGCCTACTATGGATACATCCAGTCTAAAATGACTATAATGGAAGCAGTAGGCTGTATTATACAGAAGGACGATACCCCCGCCACGACAACCTTCCAAAGGGCCATCGACTTGTGTGAGATTCTAAGTGAGGCATTCGACTCTTTAAACCGCTGGTCACTGGTCGGTAAGCTAGAATCAATGGGGATCCACCCTAGCTTAGTCAGGTGGATTGAGACTTGTTTTACAGGCCGCACCTTTCGCGTTAGGGTGGACGGGGATTAGTCGGACTGCTGACATACATAGGGCGGGGCCACAAAAGGCTCTGTCCTCGGACCATTGTTGTTTCTTGTCTTCATCAACGCCCTAGTTTCCCGCCTTTCTAACCCGTCATTCATCTTCGTGGATGACGTTAAGCTCCCTGGATCGCAGCAGGGTGTAGACCACCAGCTAGACGTAGATGTAGCGCAAGCATGGTCTACGGAATGGGGTCTGCCAATGAATACAGGGACGTGAAAGGTCCTGCTAGCAGGGAGTGCTAAGGGGGTAGTGCCACACTATATTGGAGCCAGGGACAGGGAGGCTGTGGAATTAGTGCCAGAAATCAAGGACTTAGGATTCACTCTGAACTCCACTTCAAACTCCTCGGGTCAGTGTGCTTTTGCGGCGAGCAAGGCCAGTAAAGCGTTGTTCAGGTTGAAGCGCTCCGTGACGTCTAGGGACCCTGTCATACTAGTCCCGCTCTATGTGACCTTCGTTCGGCCTCACTCAGAGTATTGTGTGCAGGCTTTGTCTCTAGCTCTGAAGAACGACTAAAAGGTTCTCGAGAGAGTTCAGCGAAGGTTCACGCGCATATTCCCGCACTTTCTGGGGGCGACATATGCCGAACGCCTTCAGGGGCTGAATCTGTTTTCACTGGAACGGAGAAGGCCGAGGGTTGATCTGATTGAAACATTCCGTATCCTGACGGGTTTCTCTCATGAAATTTATAACCCACTTCAGCGGAACGATGTCCCCAACAGGAGAGGTCGTAACATGAATTTGGGAGATTTCCGGGCAATCAAACGTCTCAGTTCCGTTTTCTCGCACTGGGTACATGAACCAAGCTGCTTCAGGAGCTAGTGGCTTCGAAAACCATTGCCAAATTCAAGCTGAAGCCTAACTCATCCTGGGCAACAACATTCCGCTATCGTATTTAAAACCGGGCCTAAAATTGCTTATAGTTCGTTCGTCTCCGTCCCCATCTTTTTATTACGCTCTTCTATCTTCAAATAGTTCATTTTGACCTATTTAAATCCCACAACTCAATTTTTATTCTTTATTAATCATGCATTTTACTGAAGTTTCAGACATCAAGCATCACCATTTTAGATCATGTTAATTCGCCACAACACATCTCTAACTCCGGGTAGCTCGGAGCAGATGGTTGCTAGCTGTTGCTTTGATCCTGACAAAACATCGGACGTATACTGTTATTCTGAAAAACTATCAGAAGTTCCTTTTCCAGAACCGCACTCACTGACGTTTACTTGAACGGAATAACAATTTTTGCAGCGCCGTGGTGCTCCCAAGCACATTGATACAAGGGACTGGACCGTTTCTGGTGCCACTGCATATCCTGTGACCTGTCCTGTCCTGTCCCGATGAGAGTGTAGCATCAAAATGCGATTTTATTCAAAACATTCGAGGTCATTTCATCATGCTCCATCATCTAAGCCATGAAATCCGTCACCGGAGAAATACGTCGCTCATTGGAGACGTAAGCAATTACGCCAGATGCCCCAAAGTATCCAATAACCAAAAAATGGAATAAACATTTATTTACCATATAACGACAAAATTATTATCCATTCATATATGAATCCAGTATGGGTAATTTTATGACCTCAACTCCATCAATAAGAACTACACCCTCCATATAACTGCATAAAACTATTCTAAATACTATTCTGAAACGTTCAGCTTATCGAGAAATAATAACTCCAAGACCAATAAATCAGATTCGCCTGGCCCTAAAAGGGCCGTTTTCAGTCAATTTGCTTTTTGACGTCTACGATCGTCGACTGAGACAAACCAAACAAACGTATGCTATTTCTCCACTAAGCAACGCAACTGGAATGTGTTCGTCGTCCCCAGCTCTGGCATTGGATTCATTGTTGATTATCGTCCAAATCGACCGTGTTTTGCGAGGATTCGCAGACATTGTCACGATTCGTCATCGTCCGGGATGCCGGATTGGTGTGCCTTCTTCGTTATCATTTTATCATCATCACTATTGACCGCTTTACTCACTTACACTGACTTCCGCTTTTCTATCGAAATGCTTCTTGAAACACTGATGGATTATCGGCCCCTAACTTGCCGCTCGTGTACGAAAGGCAGATACGCTTACTCTTCGTAATCTGTGTTGCTGATCTTCCTTTCTGGAATAATATCCGTATATCCCGGTACTTCCCTATCATGGCGGCTAAAAATCGAAGATCATTACATTGAAAACCATGATGCATGGTTACTAAGTTATTCAAAGAGATGACTGTTTCTTGAAGAACATATTCCGTTTGAGCTAACTTTGATGTCCTAGTCATAACATTTGTTGAGGCCGCTATTACGACAGTGGAATTATCCAGTGCCTAGCCTGAGCGCCTTTCGCTGCGATTCATAATCCACCAATCCGTAATAAGACTGCGAAGATCCAAATTTATTAGATCGGATGCCGACATTCACACCGTTTTCCCCGCAGTAAATACTTTATGACCCTTTTCGCTTACTATCACTACCAGAAAGAACCCTTTCTAGCGAAGGATTCTCCAAATCTTAGAAGACTTCCAGTTGCTTAATAATATATTTCGTGCATATAGTATTACTCGTGTGAGCCACATTTTAACCGATAGCATCCCACTGGACATCCAATCCAACATCATAGAAACTTTTGCTAGGCGAATTCTATGCGTCAATTCCAAAGACCTTACTCGTTGTAGGACTTTTTCAAATGCATTCATTATTGACGATCAACGAGACAAGCCTGTTTTGAGATGTCTACTTTCCGTCTCCACTCGGTTGGTCGTTCGGTTATCTAAATTCAATCTAGTCCCCACAGCATACCCTGCCCACTGCTCTCGGTATGGTAACCAAGTTTGACGTAAATAATCCCCTGCTTCTTTGCGACGACTTTCTACGGAGGATACGAAACTACGAAATGGTGACTCATTATCATAGTAGTATTGAAGTCTTCAAGGCACTCTCGGGCTAGAGGCCGGCACCGATGGTCCCGGATCCTTGATGGCTTCTTGTTTTCCGTTCGTGGAGGACGCAACTGGAGAATATGTCGTCCTAACCGGGGAATATTGATGCCAGTTGGTCTGCACCATTGACAAAATATTGAAATTTAGTTCTCAAAGCAAGGGTGAACTGGATTTCATTGTGCCTGTTCGCCGAGCTTGGCGATTTGTTTCCAATCGTTTCACCACCAGCAGAGGTGACATCATCAGTGTTTGTGAAGTGGCAGTGTTCTGCTTGTACCCGTTTGTTTATATATATGTTCATCTCCACTGATTATTTTCGGCCCCTGTGTTCACTGTGTTAGGCTCGGTTCACCTTTGAATTGATGCGAGAGTTTGAAGGTGGGAGGGGAGAAGTTTCTTTTTTCGTCCCGATTGTGGTTTTCGTCCATTCTCAGGTCACGGCGTGGCCCTTTTTGTTGCGTCATTTGATCCTTCAGTTGCATTGGTCTGTACACGTGATCCAATTCGATGTGCTTGTTTATTGAGTTGATTGAAGAGTGCCAGGCCTCGAGAAATTCTTCGGTGTGTTTTGACCGAGCTTGGTCGATAGTTCTCACTGATTCAAAGTCAAATTGATGTCCTTGATCTTCGTGGAAAGAGTTCAAAGATAGTGGGTTATGTTTTCTAACTGTCCATTAGTGTTCACGGATCCTTGTTGACAGTTTTCTCCCAGTTTGACGGACATGTTGTTTTGGAAAGTTCCCGCAGTTTATTTTGTAGATGACGCTACTCTTGTCCTTCTCCATCGTTCTCTCCTTGGGTTTTGACATTAGTCCTGTTAGGCAGGTAATCGACTTGTGGATGGATTGAATTCCACATGAGTTGAACAGTCATGCTGTCATTTCAGAAACGTCTTTGATGTACGGCAGGGTCGTTCTTGTTCTCGAGTCTCCGTCTGTTGTTTTCTTCCTTCTTTGAGCCAGAGTTCTTTTGATGAAGTTGTGGGGGTAGCCATTGTGAGCAAACACTTCGAAATGGTATCTTTCTTCTCAAGTATGTCGGTGCTGCAGTGCGTTTGGATAATTCTGAATAGGGTTCTGACACAGCATCATTTGTGTTAATCACTGAAAATGAGAACTTGGTCCGAAACTCTCCAGTCGCGTGATAACACAGGCGGATAAACGAATCCTCAATAAAGGGCTCAACTTCAACTTCAGAAATGCCACAAACAAGGAATACTTGGAAGAACTGGAACAAACTCTCAAATCGTTCACGATACCTGAGAATGCGAAACAAACCATTCAACAAACAGTCGTCCCAGCCCTGATGCGAAGAGGTAAAGCCAACATGCTATCGAACCGCGAGGACGAAGCACTCGAAACACTGGAGATGGACAAACATATCGTCAGCAGATAAAGAGCAAACCGCTGTGGTTATGAAAAAAACTGGTAACCTTCAAAAGGCTACAGAATTACTTCAAGACACAGACACCTACCGCAGAATCGACACGGATCGCACCGCAAAACTGGAAAATAACATCAATACCACATTGAAACGACTGAAAGAACTACATCAAATAAACAAAAGGAAGCACTAGAGAATGGCAGCTAAAAACTCCGTTATCGCACAATTCTACGAACTGTCAAAAATACACAAGGAAGGAATTCCCTGAGGCCAATTGTTTCCCCTCCAGGAACAGCCACGTACAAAAAAAATAATAATAATAAGTGTATATTTCACGGAGACCCGTAAAGCATGCATAGGCATAATCAAATGTACACAATACTCATCCTTATGTGAGAAGCCGAAAAGAAA